TATGATTTGAATGACAAAGACGAAAGAAAAAGCACTTTCCATACTGAAATTAGCAATAATGGCTCTAATTTCTTTGAGATCCCATTTTTGAAAAGCCATAAATCAAGCATGTAATTCTACACCCTACTGGCTCAGCAAATTTTTACTTATAAATTATTCATAGTAGGTGGGCATAATTTGAGAACTATGTAAATATATTATCTGGTAATAAAAAAAGGAAAGAAATGAAAGTACTAAAGAAAAACTTAAATGACTAAGTAAGGGCACAAGAATTCCTTACAAATGAGCACTTCAAATGCTCTCTCCAAAGCCACTGTGCTATCTTACAATATTAACATGAAGTTCCTCAATAAACCCCTCCATCAGACCCCTTACCGTTCCCTGAAAAGAACTAATCTTGTCCCCTCTTTTGATAATTTCACTTTGATAATTAAGCTGTCTAGGAACTGACAGTTATTTATTCACTCAGTCACTTATTCATTCAACTCCTCTGATTTTATTAACAAACAGAGTGCTGACCTCCCTTGGAGAACTAGCCAAGAGCCTGGAACCCAAAGAAGATACTATTCAGGCACTATAAAAACTCTGCCTTTATGCAGGGCACTGTGGTGTGCAACCTGTCAACATATCCTAGCAACTCCACAGGCTGAGGCAAGAAGATCTCAATCTGGCAACTTTGTAAGACCTTATCGCAAAACACAAAATTTAAAAAAGAAAGGACTAGGGATGTAGCTAAGTGGTAAAGCACCAAAAATAAAAATAACTCTTCCTAGTTGGACAAACATATTACACACACATATTATGGTGACATGCAATAACAGAAAGCAATCATGACAATTATGGGGTATGTATATATAAGAAAGAGAGGAGAGACAGAGAGAATGTGTATGTGTGTGTGAGAGAGAAAAAGAGAGAGATTACAAATTGTTATTAGATATTACTGGCACATGTAATACAAGGCAGGCAAACAGGAAGAACTAGATCATGAGACCTTTTGTTTTTTTCTTTCTCTTTTTTGGTACCGGGGATTGAACTCAGGGGCACTCGACAACTGAGCACATCCCCACCCCTATTTTGTATTTTATTTAGAGACAGGGTCTCATTGAGTTACTTAGTGCCTCAGTGTTGCTCAGACTAGCTCTGAACCCCCGATTCTCCTGTCTCAGCCTCCCCAGCTGCTGGGATTACAGCCAGGCCAGATCATGAGACCTTTAAGCAGTTGGAAAAAAAAAAAAAAAATCACTGGTACATACAAAAGACAAGTGAAGGCTCTGAAGGCTTATAAAATAGGGGCATAACAAGGTTGAATAAGCACTCTAAAGAGATTACTTTGAGACCAATGTGATTCTGCAACCTGTACACTCAGAAAAATGAGAAATTATATCCCATCTGATTTAAATGTATGATATGTCAAGGTCATTGTACTGTCATGTGTAACTAATTAAAACACATAAAATTTTTTTTAAAAAATTAAAAAATTTTTAAAAAGAGATTACTTTGATAGCTGTGGTGTGGCTGGTTTAGAAGAGTAGTTTTCAGTGGAGGTGGTAACACATCTAGAAGACATTTTGAAAATTAGAGGGGTGACTTAAGGTGTCACATGTTGGGGAATAGTATGGCAATTTAGTGAGTGTGGTCATTAATTGCTGGATACTCTATGTGCTAAACAATCCCACCCTTCTTCATGACTTTCAGTTGTTCTACCAAATATTTGTGATGGTGCAAAACTTGTTTATATAGTGCACTGAGACCACCAAGAACATTGTGGTCAAGGTATCTGAGATGCCCACGGAACACATTTATATCAGTCTGCACTTGTTGTTATCATAGTCATACTTATTCTATCAATAAACTCAATCTTCTGACTGCCATTATATTTTCTATTGTCGCAATAGGCCTGAGCACCTATGGATTTGAGAACCAGTGTATTAAAGCAGGGGCCAGCAAACTCTGTAAAAGGGCCAGATGGCAAATATTTAGGCTTTAACGGCCATATTGTCACTGATGAAACTACTGAATTCTACCTTTATAGCACAAAAGCAAAAACATAAAAAATAAACAAAACCACTTAATTAATGGACACAATTTTCATGTATCCTAAAATATTCTGAAACATTTTTTCAACCATTTAAAAATGTAAAACCGGGCTGGGGATGTGGCTCAAGCGGTAACGCGCTCACCTGGCATGCGTGTGGCCTGGATTTGATCCTCAGCACCACATACAAACAAAGATGTTGTGTCTGCTGAATACTAAAAAATAAATATTAAAAAAAATATATTCTCTCTCTCTCTCTCTAATAAATAAATAAATAAAAACGTAAAACCAAATCCAAATGCAGTTACACATGCCTATAATACCAATTACTCAGAAGCTGAGGCAGGAGGGTCACAGTTACAAGGCCAAACTCAGCAACTTAGCAGGACCCTATCTCAAAATACGAAATGAAAAGGGGTAAGGATGTGGTTCAGTTGTAAAGAGCCCCTGAGTTCAATCTCTAGTACAATAAAAAAAATTTTAAAATAAATACAGTAAAACCATTCTTAGTGCATTAAAAACATGGCAGGCTGGTCTGGCATAAAGGGCCATAGTTTGGTAACAATGAATTAGAGAGGAAGGCAAGCTAAATGTATAAGAAGTTGAAGCCAGGCACATGCTGGTAATCCCAGCAACTCGGGAGGCTAAGGCAGGTGGATCACAAATTCAAAGTCAGCTTCAGCAACTTAGCAAGGCCCTAAGCAACTTAGAGACACACTGTCTCAAAATGAAACACAAAAAGGGCTGGGGATGTGGATCAGTGGTTAAGTGCCCCTGGGTTCAATCCCTGGCATTAAAAAAAAAAAAAAAAAAGCATGAGAGGTTGAAACGAAGTCTAAACAAGAAATATAGAGGCTCTGAATTAAACCAATAATGGGTGGAGAAGAGGGAGAAAAGCCACCATCAAATATTTAAAAGATAATAGCAAGGCTTGGTGACTTACTGTAGATGTGCATGTAAGAGAGGATGGCTAGATAGAAACAGGAAGACAAAACAAGGTATTTAACCTGAGTGATTAAGTGAGTGACTGTACTATCAACTAAGGAAAAAGAAAAAAAAAAAAAAAAAGAGTTACCTGGGAGCGAAGGTAACATTCATGATCTGCTCTCTTTTGCTGATACCCCAAACTCTGCCCCTTTATGCCCTCTCCCAGTGACACCACCTGCTTTTTTAGATCCACTCCCTCACTCCCATCTCTAGTTAAAAAAAAAAGTCTTTATTAAAAAAAAAAAAAACAAGTGGCAAGGCAATTCATACATTTCATTGAATGAATGGTGGAAACAGCAGCAAGCTTAAACCACTCATGAAATAAATTTTGATGAAAAAAAGAAGAGATATTGAGCAAAATCAAAAGTGGAGTATATAAATTTTTTAAAAAGTCTTTTTAGTTATCTTCTTTTCATACTTCTTAAAACAAGAGTTGGTACTGGGAAGCCTGCCTTCCTCTCTAATTCACAGTTACCAAACTATGGCCCTTATGCCAAACCAGCCTATCACATTTGTAATGCACTAAGAATGGTTTTACTGTATTTATTTTTTAATTTTTTTTATTATACTAGGGATTGAATTCAGGGGCACTTTACTACTGAGCCACATCCTCACCTCTTTTCATTTTGGACTTTGAGATAGGGTCCTGCTAAGTTGCTACTGTTAACAAATATCTAAAAACGTAGAAATGGCTTTGGGACTGGGCAAAGGGTAGACGCTACAAGAATTTTGAGGCATATGTTAGGAAAAAAACCTAGAATGCTGACCAGGCACAGTGGCACATGCCTGTAATCCCAGCTACTCAGGAGGCTGAGGCAGAAGGATCACAAATTCAAGGCCAGCATGGGCAACTTAGTGAGACCCCATATCAAAATAAAATTGCAAAAGAGCTGGGGATGTAGCTCAGTGATAAAGCAGCCCTGGGGTCAATCCATAGTATCAAAAGAAAGCCCAGAAGAACAGAATTTGAGGAATAACATGAAGAACTTGTGCAATGAGTTGAACGGGTATCTCCCACAAACTCATACGTTGAAGTTCTAATCCCCAGTACTTGAGAACATAAATGTACTGGAGACAGAGCATTTAGAAGTGATTAAGATAACATGAGGTCACATGGATGGGCTACAATTCATTGTGATTGGTGTGCTTATAAGAAAAGATTAGGACACAGATAGGTATTCACAGAGGAAAGTCCATGTGAAGACAAAGAAACAAACCCTACTGATGTCTTCATCTTGGACTTCTAGCCTCCAGAACTGTGAGCAATTAAACTTATTATTTAAGTCATCCAGTCAATATACTTTGTTACAGCAGCCTATAGCAAACAAATTCATAGACTAAGGAGGAAAAGAAAATAAAGACACTGAAAACAAAGCAGAGTCAATGAAAAATAAGACAGAGAAGATGTGGGATTAAAAACAAAAAAGAATTTAATCTTCAGTGGAAAGTCTAAGTGAGTGATATATTTCTAGATTAAAACACTGAAGGAGGGCTGGGGTTGTGGCTCAGAGGTACAGTGCTTTCCTAGAACACTTGAGGCACTGGCTTCGATCCCCAGCACCACTTAAAAAAACTAACTAAATAAAGATATTGTGAACATTTGCAACTAAAAATATTTTTAAAAACCACCACCACCAACAACAACAACAACAACAACAAAAAAAAAAACTGAAGGAGATAATTACTGATAGTTTTGCTTTTCTAATGAAGCCGGAAAGAAAGTAATATCTCTGTCTCCTGACCAGACAGTGTCAGAGGCTGAAAGGTAAAAAGTAGCCATCACCCCTAGTGAAAAGGACAGCTCACTGCATATAATAGATGCTTACAGACTTCATATAACATGAATTGAATTCCAGAGCATATGGATTGAAGAGGTAATGCTAGCAGTCATTGATGTCAACTGGAAATTTAAGCGGGATGGAAACTTTTACAATGGTAGAAGTGGGGAAGAAAGGATCTAGAAACTACATTTTTTTACCTGTATATTCTTTGCAAATCAGATGCTAAGATTCCAGTGTCCACATATTTGCCACATCTATTACTGGTGAGGTACTAAAACAGAAAATATGAAAAACATAAAACACTCAATATTTCAAGAAACAAGAGACCAAGCTATTAAAACATTATACTTTAAATTCTTCATTAATAAAGTATACCAAAATAATTTTTTAAAAATCACCAAATAATTGTCAATTTGAAATCAGAATTTAATCAACAATATTAATCACCATTACAACACAAGAATATTAATAACTAGATAGCTTTATAGTAGTGAGTGTGGGCTTACTATAACCAATGTTCCCAAATACAACAGAATACAGCAGTAAACTGTTGAGAATGAGAAAGACAGTAGAATGAATCAGACATAACTTTCCTATGTTCATATATGAATACACAACCATTGTAACTCCATATTATGAACAAACAACAAGAATGGGAAGTTATACTCCATGTATATATGATATGCCAAATACATTCTACTGTAAAGTATAACTTAAAAGAACAAATTTTAAAAAAAATTTTTTTTAAAGCCAGCCTCAGCAACATAGCAAGGCTCTAGGCAACTCAGCAAGACCTTGTTTCTAAATAAAATATCAAAAAGGGCTGGGAATATGGCTTAGTGGTTAAGTGCTCCTGGGTTCAATCCCAAGGCTACTCTCTCCCCCCCAAAAATAACTGATTATTTAAGAATGAAATATAAATATATTAATTTTCATTTGATTTTTGTATATTGTTTTTCAAAAAGTTAATAAAGTTATTTGGACTAACTTCTTACTAAGTTACTTGAACATCACTACTTAACAGACAGATTTCCTATTATTGGTGTCCGAGGGGTACTATGAAAAAACTTTTGAGACCCTAAAGTCCATGTGAACCAAAAGAGTTTGGGAACCTCTAACTTAGGCACTGTTCTCAGGCCTTTTAGTTTCTCTTAAAACACTCTTATGAGGTAGATATTAGCCTCCACATTTTATAGGTAAAAAAGTTTAAATGAGGCTTAAAAAGTTTAATTACTTGTCAAGCAGCATATAATATATTGAAGGGGCAGAATTTAAGTTAGACTGTCTATCAGCCTATGTATTTCAATATTTGCTAATATCCAGTCTGACTTTCTCACTTCATACAACTTTTTTTCCAAGCACATGGCAACAGATTCAGTACCCCAAACTGGATCATTCTAGCTCATCTTCCCCTTTTCTGGCCTCCTACAGCATGTTGCCATTTGCTACAGTTATTTTAAATTATACTTAATTATGTGTATCTCATAGCTGCTGTAAAAAAAAAAAAAAAAAAAAAAAGTAGCTGGGATGTAGCTCAGTGTATAGCATTTACCTACAATGTGAGAGGACCTGGATTTGATCCCCAGCACCACAAAATATAAGTCTAATTTCCATTAAAAAAAAAAAAAAAGAGAGAGAAAGAAAGAAACAGAGGGGCTGGGGTTGTGGCTCAGCGGTAGAGTGCTCGCTCACCTAGCACGAGCAGGGCACTGGGTTTGATCCTCATCAGCACATAAAAATAAATAAATAAATAAAATAAAGGTATTGTGTCCAACTAAAACTAAAACTTAAAAACATTTTTTTAAAAAAGGAAAGAAACAGAATAGAAAGATGTCTAAAATACACCACTAAGTGGAAAAAAAAATCAAGCAGAAGAAAATGTCTTATTAAAAAAAAGAATAAATATATAAGTATGTATAGGCATACAAAATCTTTAGAAAATACAATAGAAACTCTCCATGGTCACCACTAGAAAGAACACAGATGATAGGACTTCTTTTCATTTTAAGTCCATCTGTCCCTTTTTTGTTTTGTTTGAAAGATGGAATCTCACTACATTGCCCAGTCTGGCCCAAAACTCCTAGGTTCAAATGATCTTCCTGCCTCAATATGGTGAGTAGCTGCTACAACAGGCCTGGACCACTACACCCAGCTTTGCACCTTTCATTTTAAGCCATAAGACCTATTATTTTTACAGTGAATCAAAGTGAAAACTATAAAGTTGATAATGTCAAGAGTTGAAAAGCAGTCAACTGTGGGCAGGACTGAGAAAAGACCACTTGATTCAACAGTGTTCAGTGACCTGAATACAGTGAAGTAGTCTAAGTAGTGGGACTATCTATAGGAAGAGTAATTCAAGAGTGAGTAAACAGCAAGAACAAAGGTCTTGTGCTTGGCATCTATAAGAAAGTCAATGTGGTTACGACTGAGTAAATAAGGTAGAGAGCAAATGGAAACTATTGGGACAGAAAAATAGAGGCACTTTTTTAGATTGGATTTTACTCCAGGTGTCCCAAACCCCATTAAAGCATTTTGTTTTGTTTTGTTTTTGGTACCAGGGATTGAACCCAGGGGCACTTAACCACTGAGCTATATCCCCAGTCCTTTTTTATATTTTATTTAGAGACAGGGTCTCTCTAAGTTGCTTAGGCCCTTGCTAAATTGCTGAGGCTGGCTTTGAACTCACAATCCTCATGCCTCAGCCTCCTGAGCTGCTGGGATTACAGACATACACCATTGCACATGGCTTATTGAATGGTTTTCAGCAGAGCTCTGACAAGCTCCAATTTAGCCTTTAAAACAATCTCTGGCTGCTCTGTGGGGAATAGATTTTAGGTAAAAGAAGAATCAAAGACATCAGTTAGATGGCTATTGCAATTATATAACAAGGAGATTGGTGGTTTGGAATTGCATGGTTGGAAGAAGAGATTGTAAGTGCTTGGATTTGGAATATACACTAATTTAAAGGTAAAGCCAACCAAATTGTTGATGAATTGGATATGGGAGTGAAAGAAAGGAGTTAGAATGATCCTTAAGGTTTTTGTTAACAAATGGGATGGAGGGTGCAGTCATTTCCTGAAATCCAGAACACTTACATACATTTGGAGGAAAAATCAAAAGATTGGTTCAGACATGTTAAGTTGGAGATAGCTATTGGACAGACATTCAAGAAAAGAATCAACTAGGCAACTGGATATATCAATCTGGAATCCAAGATTAAAACCTGGACTGTAGATACAAATTTAAGAATCATGAATATGTAGATAATATTTGAAGGTATAAAACTGGATGAGATAACCACGAAGTAGAGAAGTAGAGAAAGATAAGTGAGGAGAATGTGGAAAGAGGAGGAAAGAGAGGTAAGAAACCAGAGTGCAATGAGAAGCTGAGGAAGGAGGCCGGAGGTTCAAGGAACCAGAGGCTGGGGCCACTTCCAACATTTCGAGGCGGGTAGAAAAGGATCCAAAAAGGAGATTGCAGAATGACTGACAAGGTAAAGGCAAAACAAATTAAGTATATAGATCACAAACTCTGATGTGAAAGAATATATCTCCCTTCTTTTAACTCAGATTGTTTGCTGACCATACCATTTGCCACATATTGCTTTCTACTAATGGTAATAAAAATGAAAAAAAAAGTGGGAAGGGAAGAGAGGCGGCATGGGGTTTGAAATGATAGTGGAATGTGATGGACATTATTATCCAAAGTACACGTATGAAGACACGAATTGGTGTGAATATACTTTGTAACAACCAGAGATGTGAAAAATTGTGCTCTATATGTGTAATAAGAATTGCAATGCATTCCGCTGTCACATATGAAAAAAAATATTTTTAAAAGTAAATAAAAATAAAAAAGCCAAGTAAGGAACCTATTATAATCGTCTAACCCGTGCTTCCTTTTTTACTGTTTCACAATTTGACAGCTACCTCTCTGAGAACCGCTCATTAACGTTTTCTTTATGACCCTCTGAGGGCGTCAGAAGAAAAGTTTGTGTACAAGACGTGGTGGTATCACTGTCAGGCGAATTCCACTCTTCCCCCCACCGTAGTGAGAGAAAGCCATGTCTCACCCTCAAAGGAGTAGAGCTGTCGACAGACTCCATGCCCGAACCCAAACTAGGAGGGAATAAGGCAGGAAGCTAGTCGAGTTCGCCCTTAAAAAGAAAAGCAACGCCCTGGGGTGGAGACTAGAGACCGCTGCCAGGCACAAACAAGCAAAATACACACCTGGATGATTCGCTGCTTCAGTTTATTATCCACGAACGCTGCGGGTCTGGGCTTCATTACGTCTATCTGGAGGCCTCGGTTCCGGCCGCCAGTACCACATGAACCGGGGGCCTTCTCAAGGCTGTCCGCAGCAATCGCCGTCCTCGCCGCACCCGAAATGTTCCCCGCCTGGCCTAAACTGCGTCGTTTTCCTCAAGACAAGAGTACTACGAGTGAGGTGGGTGAGGACTACTATGGAAAAGAAAACGAAAACCTCAGGGAGTTCGTAATATTATTTTTTTCAGGCTTATCCAACACGCCTTGGATGATTAGGCCCCCTTTGAATATGCTCAACTTTATTGGTTCCCACCTAGGTGGACAAAGACCCGCGGCTGCGGAGGAGTGATTCCATCCTAGGCCCACCGAGATTCTCGCAGCTGGTGGTTAATTTGGTTTCTTTTGTCATGTCCAGCCTTCCCAGCCACACCCTTTTCGAATACAGAATTAGTCTTAGGGGAGAACTTGAACAAAACCAAAGATACCATGGATGGTTAAGTTAGGATAAAAGAGTCTGGGTGTAAAAAGGAAAGGAGCTGGGGCGCGGTGGTGTACGCCTGTAATCCCAAATGTTTCAGGTCTTATTTGATTTAAGCAATATTAAGTGCTGCCTATTATGTTTGTCACTAGGAAAGCTGAGACAGGAGTATCGAAAGTTTGCGGGACCTCTCCGAGTTCGAGACTAGCCTCAGCAATTAACGAGATCCTGCCTCAAAATCTAAAAAATAAAAAGAGATTGGGATGTATCTCCATTGGTAAAGCTCCTCTGAGATAAATCTCCACTACCAAAAAAGGAAAGGACTAGTTTACCAAGATAATTAGGGATTTGGCTTTGGTGGTTTTTAAATTAGGTAGATTTATAGATAGATATAGAGATATATTTTGTAGTTGAACACAATACCTTTATTTTACTTATGTTTATGTGGTGCTGAGGATCGAACCCAGGGCATGCACGTGCTAGGCGAGCATTCTACCGCTGAGCCATAAGAGTGCATAAGAATTCCAATTACTCAATATCCTTGCCAACACTGATTATTTTCTGTTTTTTTTTTTTAAATACTAGTCAACCTAAGTGGTATAAAATGTTATCTCATAGATTTTATTTTCATTTCCCTAATGATTATCAATTTTGAACAACTTTTCATGTGCTTATGGGCCATTTGTATATCTTTGGAGAAAAGTCTATTGAAGTTTTTGTCTATGTTTGAATTAGCTGTTTTCATTATTGTTGAGTTTGGGAGTTCACTGTATGTTGAAAGGACTGTCTTTCCCCCACTGAATGGTCTTGGCATTCTTGTCAAAAATCATTTGACTAACTAGACATAGTGGTGCACACCTGTAATCCCAGCTACTCAGGAGACTGAGGCAGGGAGTCCAATTAAGTTCAAGGGCAGCCTCAGCAACTTAGCTTTGTCACAAGAGCATATCTCCAAAGAAGTGTCCAAGGAGTTTCCAGAGAGGGGTGGGGAACTTGACTCAGGATGGACCAGCTTATGTGACTGAAAGAACTTCAGCAAGTGTCCGTCAAAGACATTATTAGAAGTTTATTTAGGAAGTAAATACCTGTTTAAAGAAGAAAGGGGACAATCTCAAGAGAGAGGCCTTTGGGGTTAAAAGAAGAATGTGAGGCTGAGGCTGTAGCTCAGTGGTAGAGCACTCGCTTTGCATGTGTGAGGTGCTGGGTTTGATCCTCAGTACCACATAAAAATAAAGTAAAGGTATTATTTCCATCTACAACTAAAAAAAATTGAAGAAGGAGAAGGAGAAAGAGAAGAAGGAGAATAATAATAATAATAACAATAATAATAATAATGGTTATCTCCAGAGGAAGAGACAGCAACCCCTCTGGTGTGGGGTGTTAATGCTTACTGGGCTAGAGGTGGAGGCAGTGTGAAGCTACACACTTCATGCCAGTTTCCTTGTGCTTGCACTTTGCCCACAAGGGCATGGGTCAAGGGAACTGGCCTAGGTCCTGTAACTCAGGAGTTATAATTATTTGTGGATGCTTTCTACATTTCAGTCACTTATGGGCACTTCCTTTGAGACTTAGTATCTTTCCCTTTATTCTCAAATTCCTATCTCAACCCTGTCTCAAAAAATAAAATATCACTGTGTGTAGCTTGGGTAGAACCAAGTTCAATCCCCGTTATCACAAAAACAAACAATCATTTGACTATATAGGTAAGGGAACTTTTCTAGGCTCTTTATTCTTTTCCATTGGTCTATATATTTTTATTTATATAGACCAATATAAATAAATGTTTTAATTATTGTAGCTTTGTAGTAAGCTAAAAATCAACAACTGAATCCTCCAGGTTTTTTTCTATTTCAAGATTGGTTTGACTATTTTATAAAAAAAAAAAAAAAAAAAAAAAAACTTTGCGATTTTTGATAAGTTATGCATTGAATCTATAGAACACTTTAGGTAATATTGATATCCTATAACAACATAAAGGCTTCCAATCCAAGAACATAGGATTTGTTTCCATTTAGTTATATCTTTCAACGATATTTTGTAGTTTTCATAGTATAGATTTTGGCCTCCTTGGCTAATTCCTGAGTATTTTTATGCTATTCTAAATAGAATTCTTTTGTTAATTTCTTTTTTAGACTGTTCATTGTTGGTGTATAGAAATGCAATTAATTTTCATGTGTTGGCTTTAAATCCTGCAATTTTGATGAATTCTTTTATGAGGTCTAATGTTTGTTATGGAATCTTTAGAGTTTTCTTTATATAGTCAGGCACAGTGGTACATGTATGTGATTCCAGCAACTCTGGATGCTAAGGCAGGCATATTGCAAGTTTGAGGCCAGCCTCAACCACATAGTGAGACCCTGTCTAAAATTTAAAAAAGAAAAGGGATGGGGATATAGTTCAGAGGCAGAGTGCCTCTGGATTCAATCCCCAGTAACTGAAAAAAAAAAATCATACATGAACAGAGATAGTTTTATTTCTTCTTTTCTAATTTTAATGCCTTTTACTTATTTTTCCTTGCCAACCACTGCAGCTAAAACTTCCACTCTTATATTGAATAAAAGTGGTGAAAGTGGGAATAGTTGGCTTGTTCCTGATTTTAGAGAAGTTAACTTTTCCTCATTGAATTTGATAGTTGCTGTGATTTTTTTCATATCTAACTTTTTGTTATTGTTGTTTCGCAGATTGAACCCAGGAGCACTTAACCACTGAGCCACATCCCCATGCTTTTTATTTTGTTTTGTTTTTGTTTTTGGTACTGGAGATTGAACTCGGGCACTCAACCACTGAACCACATCCCCAGCCCTATTTTGTATTTTATTTAGAGACAGGGTCTCACTGAGTTGCTTAGCACCTCACCGTTGCTGAGGCTGGCTTTGAACTTGCAATCTTCCTACCTTAACTTCCTGAGCTGCTGGGATTATAGGCCTGAGCCACTGCACCTGGCTTTATTTTGTATTTTGAGACCTTGTCTTGATAAGTTACTTAGGGCCTTGCTAAATTGCTGAGGCTGGCTTTAAACTTGCGATCCTCCTTTCTTAACCTCCCCAGTTGCAGGGATTACAGTCATGCACTACCACACTTGGCTCATATCTGACTTTTATTATGTTGATGCAATTTCTTTCTGGTCCTAATTTGTTGAATATCTTTATTGTGAAAGGATGTTGAATTTGTCAAATGCTTTTCTCCATTAATTGAGATGATAATGAAATTTTCCTCCATTCATCCTATCATATGGTATATTACATTGGTCAAGTTTTATATCTCAAACCATCCTTGCATTCCAGGAATAAGTTCCATTGCTGTGTAATTTTTTTCCAATATCCCTTTTAGTTGTAGTTGGACAAATATCTTTATTTATTTGTTTATTTTTTACGTGGTGCTGAGGATCAAACCCAGCACCCTGCATGTGCTAGGCGAGCTATATATGCTGAGCCACAACACCAGTCCCTTTTGTTTGTTTTTTTTTTTTTTAGTTGTAGTTGTACACAATACATTTATTTTTATTTATTTATTTATTGTGATGCTAAGGATCCAACCTAGTCCCTCACACGTGCTAAGTGAGTGCTCTACCACTGAGCCACAACCCAAGCCCTGTATAATCTTTTTAATATGCTGCTAAATTCATTTTGCTAATTTTTTAAAGAATTTTTTTTACCAGAGAGATTGAACTCAAGGGTGTTACTGAGCCACATCACCAGCCCTTTTTATACACACACACACACACACACACACACACACAAAGAATATATATATTCCTTTTTTTTAAGTTGTCAATGGACTTTATTTATTTGTACGTGGTGCTGAGAATCAAACCCAGTGCCTCACACATACTAAGGCAAGCACTCTACCACTGAGCCAGCCCTTTATTTTTTATTTTGAGACAGGGTCTTGTTAAGTTGCTAAAGGCCTCACTAAGTTGCTGAGCCTGGCTTTGAACTTGTGATCCTCCTTCCTTAGCCTACTGAGCCACTAGATTACAGGCATGCTCCACTGCTCCAGGCTAAATATAGTATTCTAGATTGAAAGGTTTTTTAAAAAAATTTTTTTTAGTTGTTGATGTTTATTTATTTTATTTTTTTGTTTGTGGTGCTGAGAATTGAACCCAATGCCTCATACATGCCAGGCAAATGTGCTACCACTGAGCCCCAGCCCCCGCCCTAGATAGAAAGTTTTTGTTTGTATACGTTTGTGGTTCTAGAGATTGAACCCAGGGATGTGCTACCACTGAGCTATATCCTCAACCCTTTTTATTTTCTTTTTTTAAATATTAAGATAAGAGCTTGCCACATTACTAAGACTGCTCTTGAACTTGCAGTCCTCCTGCCTCAACCCCCTGAGTTGCTGATGTTTACTTCTACCCTTAACTAGGCTATTTTTCCCCCAACACTTTGAATATATAAACCTAGTATCTTCTGACTTCCATAGTTTCTGATAAGAAATTTGTTAAATATTTTTAAAAATATTTTTGTTGGAGATTGACACAATACCTTTATTTTATTTATTTATATGTGGTGCTGAGGATTGAACCCAATACTAGGCAAGCTCTCTACCACTGAGCCAAAACCTCAGCCAGAAATCTGCTAAATATCTTATTGAGGATCCCTTGTGTGTGATGAGTCTCTTCTCTATTGCC